GGGGTGGATCTGGTATGACGTGGCTGCATTGCTCCCCTGCCATGTGGCTTTGGCCAGTCATGTTCTCTCCTCGAGCCTCAGCGTCCTCCATACAACCTGGAGAGCAGGTCCCCCCATCGATTAGGTGTGCAGTTAAGTAAGACGAGGGGTCCCACCTTTGAGAGCCAGGACTGTTAACCCGAAAATGTCCACTGTCCTGCTGTCCCCATGCTGGGCTCACTTGGAAAGTCGGGCCAGAGTAGCTGACCGGCAGTGTCGCGTCCTAGGCCACAATCCTCGTGTGCGCTCTGTGGGGTGGGCAGGAGCAAAGCGGAAGAGACGGTAATGGGGCTGCTTCACGGCCCCAGTTGTCTGTGGCCCGGCGCCCGCATGGGGTTCTGCTTGCTCCTGTGCAGATGTCGCTTTGGGTTGCCGAGCCGTTTTCGGGCTTCACTTGGCCTGGACCTCTGTCCCCAACCGCCAGCAGCCCTCAGCACCACTCACCAGAGACCCTCAGGTGAGCGAGCCCACGCCAGGTGTCGGTGCCTCTGCGCCTGCGCCGAGTGGGGTGGGCGAGTCTGTGGGGGTCCCTCGCTCGGTTCCCATCCCGGCTTGGCTGCTGCCGGCTCCTGAAGACACCGGGGCTTTCTCACGCCCCGGTTTCTCCAGCTGGTCTGAGAACTCTGTGGGCCGGGACTTGACGCACTGTAAATAGAACAGCAGCTCCCTGAGACCGGGCGCCCGCTCTCGTGGGAAGCGCTGGCGTGGATCAGGCCGGCGCCCGCCCGCCCCCACGGGCTCTCCGGGCCTCTGGTCCCAACTGCCCCATTCAGCTCTCTCTGGTTAAGCCCGTTTGATCTGGTTCTGTCCACCTTCCACCCGGCACCCAGCCCAGGTCTGTCCCAAGCCCCAGATGTCCCCCAGGCAGCAGAGGCCTAGCGACAGGCCTCGTTCGTCTTCCCTACCAGCTCAGAGACAAAGGGCCCAACGTGTGTGCAGATGGCCCTCCATCATCCCCCACAAGCAGCCCCAGAAATGGGCCTCCGACTAGTCCCCTGGGACCACCTGCTGACCAGGGGGTGGCCGGGCAATGATGCATGCAAGCACAGACCGATGACAAAGTAGCCTTGGGGGAGGGGTGGAGCTGGGAGGCAGGACCAGGGCCCTGAGGCCTGGCCCATAGTGCTGTCATTTTCTGTGAGGGCAGAATTATCCCCAGCCAGGCCAGACCTCATTGCCCTTCTGGGCTGAGACCTTGGCTACTGCTGAGGGCCCGTGTGAGTGTGTGTCTCTGTGTCTGTGTCTCTGAAATTAGGGAAACTGGGTCCCAGGGACGGCTTGGGCTCCACGCGACTGCAGGTGGGTGGTGAAGTGAGGCCGGGCTCCTGACCGCCCTCCCGCAGTTTCCCTCACTCTGCGACGAACACGACGAACACACTGTGTATGGCTCTGGGGTGAGTGGGACTTCCCCACCTCTGGAGGGCAGGGACTCCAGCCTGTCTTCCCACAGGGCCAGCATGGGCCCAGACCCTCCCTGGAGGGCAGATGAGTGCCAGCAGCAGCCCGGAAGCCATAGGTGGCCACACCCCCAAAGCCCATGGACCCTTACTGGCCAGGCAGAGGGCTGCAGAGAGGAATGGACATCAGGGGCCCCGGCTCACAGCCGGCTCAGCCCCAGAGGGGCCCCCTCCCAGCAGCCTCTGGAGTGGACGCTGCAGGGTGTCCACACCCCAGGCACTCTGGGGTCAAGAGTGACCTCCCCACTGCTACATCGGAATCTCTAGGGGAGTCTGGCGCTGATGCGCACCCCCTTACTACGTCCG